AACGTTATATTTCAAATACAAGTTAATGTTTAGGGCCCTATCATACACCCGGCGCAATGTGGTGCAAGGCGCGGTGCAATAGTCTGTTGCTAGTTTCAGCTTGGCGCAAGAGTGGTTTTGAGGCATTGCGCTACGCTGTTTAAATAGCAAATGCATTTGCGCTCATATGTGCTTCCATAGGCGTTCTGGTCTAAAAAGGAAGGCGTTCTCAGGCGCATTGCTGGCGCATTGCTATTTTGCGAAACAAAAATAGATTTTTAATTAGACCAAAACAAACCCGGTCTAAACTCCAGCGCAGAGTTGCGCCTCGCTTACACACTGCTTAATACGCACAAGAGAGCAATAGGCAAATCTTTACATATGAAAAAAATTAAATATTAGGGATATAGGATATAATAAGAATAGATATAGGATATAAATATAAAGGATTAAAATATTACAAAATATATTATTTTCTAGCCTACATAAATATGAAAAATCACTGCTTTTATGTCTTCTTCATCTCAGAGGGCTTTTTCAGTTAATTTATAACAATTTGCTTTTGTATAATGTTATTATTATTAGCAGTATTATTTATTATTTCCATATTTAAATTTGTTTTATGAAATACAAGCTTAGATTTGCCCACCTGTCAGGTTTTAGACCATATGGGGCACAGCATGTGTATTAGGATATAACTCAGGTTTTTGACCACACTTCGTTATTATTGTTCATTTATTCGTTTGCTGGAAATTAGAACTGAATTTAGAAATAGTTTTGAAACGAATATTTGCGCTTAACAAACGCAATTAATTATTTATAGACTAATTGATGTCTGTGCGTAAAGATTTTCCTATCCAAGAGCGAAAGTGAAAGTAGATCGATTATCTCTCATTCTCATGCAGTAGATGCTCTGTTTAACAGTTTTCTGTAAAAAAAACTGTTAACTGTTTGCTAGTGAAATGCTTACTATACGTCCTGTAAATAGCGAATGCGCTTATGGCGCGACGCGGCTGGCTGTTAAAGGGAATGGGAGATGAGACTCTAATTGGTTTATTCTCAAAACACACCAATAACTCATTAAGAAAATAAACTCAACCCTTTTAGACCATGCGCCATGGCGCAAAGCGGATTTTCTCGTCTTTAAATTAGCAAAAATGCGTTCTGACACGCCCTGAAAGCGTTTGCGCCCTGCAATTTGCGCTCTGCACATGGACCGTCAAAAAAAAGCCCTTAGATTTGAAGAGAGAGACCGGGGATAGTTGTAACACTTACAATCTCTACAACAAGGAACTAGTTACAAATCAGCTGATTCACTTCACACATGCTCATTTTAGTCCTCATACCACATATGAAAAAGTCCTGTGACAGACACAGCAGATATTAAACAGAAAAACTACACTTCAGCTAAGATTAGCTAATTAATTATTTTTAAGATATCATTCCCTGATTTGTAGTTAAACCCATGTAATCTGTGTGTCTGATTGTGGATATACTTAATCCACATTGTTGGTGATAATGTTTTAGCTGTTAGCTGTAGGAGAACAGATTCATGGCCACATAACACTGGGTCAGTTGAAACAACAAAAGCTAGTAACTTGCTAGTCACATCAGTGAAATGTTACCACCAACCCCAAGCAGATTTAAAACTGTATTTATATGATTTAATTTCAGTATTGCTATAGCTTATAAAAGAGAAAGTCAAAAGTAGTTTGAGTTCAGTGTTTGACCTCTGTGGGCTCATGAAGCCTGCAAACACAAATAGTGTTCAATTGTTGAAGCTGATGCACATTTGCACATTTCATTCAGCTTTGTAACACAGAGACACACAAACTATACTGAAAGCTCAATGCTGAATAAAACGCTTTCAAATCCATTTTTATGTCATAATTCTCATTTTATGATGTTACAACTAACCCCGACTGTGGGCTGAATTGTAACATTTCACTCCTCCTGTTTGAGGGCTTACTCACACTATTTACAGTTGCCTTGAACCGGGCCGAAGCACATTTGTCCCCCCTCCCGTCTCACCTGACGGCCCGCACTCACATCGCATTTGGGACTGAGCATGCTTACGTCATCAATGATGCACAGTTCAGTAAGAAGCGCTCTCACTCAGCACAGTGGAAATTTCTTTAGTTATATCGTTTTCAAGAGTTCACACTTAGCTGATGACTGATTATAAGCAAGTTTAGCATGCTGTCCCGGGAGAGAGACCTGAGCTCAAAAGGTCCTTGAGCCCTGGGCTCCCTCCCGTTTGCCTCAGGTAGATCTCGACAACTCCCCCCATGATATGAGCTGATGACTAAAATAAATGCTATGAAAAGATATGCTGCTGAATGAGAGTTTGAATGTAGTGCTAAATTTAGATTGATCAATTCACTTGTAGTACATGTTTTTGGAATGTGGGAGGAAACCGGAGAACCCAGGGAAAACCCATGCGAGCACGGGAAGAACATGCAAACTATGCACAGAAATGACAGTCAGCCTGTTAAAGGACTAGAACCGGTGACGCTCTTGCTGTGAGGCTGCATTGCTACCCACTGGGCCACCGTGCCACCCTATGAAGGGAAAGCTGGAGAGGTAGGGGTGGAAGGGGTGACACGCAGTTAATTATTTCGCTGAACAGATCAGCCACTTTTGACGCTCATAAACAATTATAAAGTCATCGCGCTGCAGGAATTAAGAGGTTTGCTACAGGTGCAGCTGTCATGCAGTGAGGTGTTTGCGTCTTTAATAATCTACGACAGTTTGCATTCATTGAACAGTATGAATGATTAATAAATCCATATAAAACAGTTCCTTAAATGTCACGTCTCGTCTTCAGTTTCCAGCCCAAGTGAATCGCGCGCTGGCACACCTCTTTCAACCAGGCAAGGGCCGGCCAAGTGAACCGCACCTGAGCCAGATTCGGAGCACTCACACTTCTCAAACGATATGGGCCTGGGCACGGTACTGATAGCATAGTGTGAGTATGCCCTGAAACTAAAAAGTGTTCACATTTACTGTTTACGCTGCAAAAATTACTTATTTGGCCATTTAATAGCAGACACTTGTAACTCAAGATCTCAAAGATATATAGAGAAATATAATAGAAGTAAAACTATCCACCGGTCTCCCCCATACAAATATATCATAGGTACATACAACTTATATTTCAAAATGTATCAAAAATTATTTATAATACTTATGCTCTTGTGAGTGTCTCTCTTCCGCCTGTTGAGAATTCATTATCTACAATGTAAATAACAGCCACAGACAAAACATCTATTTAACAATCTATGCCCACCGCCACCCCCTTCCACTTGGAAGGACATCTATCCATGCACCCATACTTCTGCATTAAAAGGATATTCTTGACCATCAGTGTCCAGTCACCACTGAGGTGTGTGATTCCTATTGGTCTCCACATGCTCCACTCCAGTCTGTAAAAGACAAAGACACGACTAACAGAGCTCTACATGCTTGCTGAACTCCAGCAATGCACAAGCTGCTCTCCAGCGTTCTTCAGATAAATCTCCACTGATGCTCTTGTGAGTCTCCTTCTTCTGTTTGTTGTGTGTCCATTACCTGAAAAAGAAACACCTGCGGCAGACAAGACATCTATCTAACTATTTACTGTATCTGAAGGAAATACCCAATCATCACTTAGTCTTTACAAATTAAAGTATATAATTTAAAAATGTTTTATTAAGTTAATTTGATTCAACTAAAAATGTAAGTCTACCTAATTTATTACGATGTACTTGTCAATACTGATGTGTGGTTCGCTGTTTCTCCACATGCTCCATGCCAACCTGTCAAAGAGAAAGATATCAGGTCTTTAATCTCAATATATTTCTTTGGAAACAAACTCCATTGTTTAGTCTGTTCAAGCAGTTCTACCTGTTTCCTGAGCCCCAGATTTTCAAGTATATCTCCAAGTTCCTGTGACTCTTCTACTTCTGCTCCACTCCAACCTACAAATGACAAAAGCTGCGTCCCAAATGGCACGCTATACACTATGAACTTATACACTATGTACTTATGCACTTACACACTCAACAGCATAGTATATGACTGTAGTGTCCCAAATAGAACACAATCGGTTATTTACTAACCGCAAATTCAGCTGTCGTGCATTGAGAAGTTTGTGTATTTAATAAACTACGGCAGTTTGTGTTCACTGAACAGTAAGAATGATTAATAAATCCATATGAAACAGTCCCTTAAAAGTCACGTGTCGCTTTCAGTTTCGGGCCCAAGTGAACCGCACTCAGACCCACCTCTTCCAACCGGGCCAGGGCCGGCCAAGTGAACCGTGCTTGAGCCTGATTCAGCGCACTCACACTTCTCAAACGATCCGGGAAACGGGCCTGGGCACGGTACGGATGGCATAGTGTGAGTAGGCCCTTAGTGAAACAAATGACCAAACTGTCAAATAATACTTGCCAGGAGTATAATCACTTTCACCATCAGGAAGCAGCATAATCACTCTTGTTGGAGAATTTTTCTTTCATAATCCAAAATAAAGTAATCAAACTTAAGCTCCTGATAGCTCCACTGATGCTCTTGTGAGTCTCCCTCTTCTGCCTGCTCTCTCTCCATTACCTGAAAAAGAAAAACCTGACAAAGACAAGGCCTAATTACAATCTACAACAACCAGCACTCCTTCATCTTGGAAGGACGTCCATCGATTCACACGTCCACCTAATTAAAAAAAAAATTAAATTCCTGACCATCCAGTCATTGCTGAGGTGTGTGATTCCTTCTTTTCTCCATGTGGTGCCATCTGATCTGTAAAATACAATAGAAAGATGTCAAGTCATTCATTAATCTAATACCATTCTTTGGAAGTTTCATCTACCATTGTCTCCAGTCTGGTTCTGTTCTAAAACTAACAAATAATATTTCACAGCTATAAGTAAATACTCTACTAGATGACAATCTATAAACTTAGAAGAGATAAATGTGCTACAATAATTAGTAAAACTGTAAATAAAACAAAAAACAATCAAAAGCTACAAATGTTGAACAGGCCGACAGCATAAATTACTAATAAATAATACAACAGCCAGACAATCTATCTGACAACAGACGTGCAGTAATATTCAATGTGGTAACTCTGACAGCATACAAATAAATTAGAACAGATCAATTTATCCGATCATATAACAAATAACAATCTGCAAATGTTAAGTTAGATAGCGATATACAAATGAAGCATACAAACAAAAATATTGTATCTATTTCTGTCTATCTGAAGGAAATATCTGACAACCACTTACTGCCCCATTAAGACCAGGTATTCCACTCACTGAAGCACCACAAGCACATCTCCTGTGAGTTCCAGTGTCTCTCCTAGTGAGGTGTCTCCTGGTTCCTCGTCTAGTCTTCATCCTGTTTGCTGTCTGTGGTATCCGTCTCCAGTCTCCAAGCCTGCATAATCAAATATCCAATTCAGGTTAATGGACTTATTATCTGCATCAATAAACTCACCTGCTTATACTCACCTGACGTCCTGTTATATTACTGAACTGAATCTCGTCCCTTCTGTGACACTTACTCTGTAAAAATGTAATTGTATAAGTTTAAAATGTTTTATAAAGTTCAGTTGACTCAACTTAAAGTTTAAGGCTGTACCTAATTTATTACGATGCACTTGTCATTACAGTGTGTTTCCCTGTTCCTTCACATGCTCCATACCAACCTGTCAAAGAGAAAGATATCAGGTCTTTAACTAATCTTAATACATTTCTTTTGAAACTAACTCCATTGTTTAGTCTGTTCAAGCAGCACTACCTGCTTCATGAGCTCCAGGTCTTCAAGTATATCTCCACCGTTCTCCTTCTTCTGCTCCACTCCAATCTGCAAATAAACAAAGACAGCCCCAACAAAACCCCAACTGCTGTTCTCCAGCATTTTTTAGAGAAATCTCCACCGATGCTCTTGTGAGTCTCCCTCTTTTGCCTGCTCTCCAATACCTGAAAAAAGGAAAAACCTGACACAGACAAGGCCTAACCACCCATCTATACCAGTGGTTCTAAAAGTGTTGTACGCGGGTTTCCTTCTAGTGGTATGCAGAGAAATCACTGAATAATAATTAAAAATATATGAATGCCCTTTTACCCTTTGATGCAAACGATAACAGATGTGATCAGCATTGGCTGTTCCCTGTTCTGTACGATCACACTGTTATGATTAGTATGTTTAGTGCATCATATCATCAGATGCTAAGAATCTAAAAAAAACTGTGGAGGGCTTAAGCAGATACATGTTAGAGAGGTGCTTTTACAGACAAGTCCTGTTGGCATTTCAGTTACTTCAGTGCAAACTCAGGAGAATTATTGGTAAAATAATTATCACTAATGTGTTAACATGTGTTAGTAGTTGTGTAAAAAAATCCATTTATGATTTATAGCCTGAAGTCATTTGTTATATAAATAGTTTAGCGGTGTGGCTTTCGATTTAGTTTGTTGCCTCAGATTTAAATTAATCTGGATGTGATTCAAATGGTGCGGAACCTTACCCGAGTCGGCCTGAAAACGGTGGTCAGTTGCCCAGTTTACACAAACTCTATGGGCTCTATTTTGACAGTCCATGCGCAGAGCGCAAAACCCAGGGCGCAAACGCTTTCAGGGTGTGTCAGAATGCATCTTTGCTAATTTAAGGACAGAAAAATCTGCTTTGCGCCGTGGCGCATGGTCTAAAAGGTTTGAGTTTATTTTCTTATTGAGTTATAGATGTGTTTTAAGAATAAACCAATCAGAGTCTCATCTCCCATTCCCTTTAAGAGCCAGCTGCGTCGCGCCATAAGCGCATTCGCTATTTACAGGATGTAAAGTAAGTCTAAGTGGAAAAACTGAGCATTTTACAAGCAAACAGTTGAAAGTTTTTTTTAACAGAAAACTGTTAAACAGAGCATTTACTGCGTGAGAATGAGAGATAATCGATCTACTTTCACTTTCGCTCTTAGATAGGGAAACCTTTACGCACACACATTAATTAGCCTATAAATAATTAATTTTGTTTGTTAAGCGCAAATATTCGTTTCAAAACTATTTCTAAATTCAGTTCTAATTTCCAGCAAACTAATAAATGAACAATAACAACAAAGTGTGCTTAAAAACCTGAGTTATATCCTAATACACATGCTGTGCCCCATATGGTCTAAAACCTGCAGGTGGGCAAATCTAAGCTTGTTTTTAATAAAACAAATATAAATATGGAGATAATAAATAATACTGCTAATAATAATAACATTATACAAAAGCAAATTTTTATAAATGAACTGAAAAAGCCTCCCGAGATGAAGAAGAAATAAAAGCAGTGATTTTTCATATTTATTTATGCTAGAAAATAACATGATTTGTAATATTTTAATCCTTTATACTTATTTCCTATATTTATATTCTTATTATATCCTATATATATCCTTAATATTTAAATCTTTTCATATGTAAAGATATTTGCGTATTGCTCTACATCTTGTGTGTAGGCTATTAAGCAGTCTGTAAGCGAGGCGCAACTCTGCGCTGGAGTTTGGACCGGGTTTGTTTTGGTCTAATGAAAAATCTATTATAGTTTCTCAAAATAGCAACGTGCCAGCAGTGCGCCTCAGAACACTTTCCTTTTCAGACCAGAACGCCTATGGGCGCACATATAAGTGCAAATGCATTTGCTATTTAAACAACGTGGTGCAAAACAGCAAAACAACACTTGCGTCAAGGTGAAACTAGCAAATAACATTTGCGCCGCGCCTTGCGCTGCATTGCGCCGGGTGTATGATAGGGCCCTATGTTTTACTTAAGATATGATCTCACTTCCACCAAATTATGGAAATGCTGAATCTATGAATTGATACATCACGCATGAATTGGTCAAACAGTGTATTTATAATCACTAGGGATGCACCGATTCCAATACCAGTATCGGGGCGACACTTAAAATACTCATATCATACATAAAAAGGCAGATACCACGCACAGATCCCACTCAACAGTAATTTACTACATGGATGTGATTTGTTATCCTACCTGACCATTGTCTTAATAATTAGCCTAATGTATTATATATTTATAGCTTAGTCCTTATAAACAATCCTTTTAAAAATACATTATTATTGAATCTATCGGCTACTGAAGAATAAACCGAACATGAAATATGATCCTTGCATAATGATCTCAGCAAAACAAGCTAGCACTCATTTTAATATAAACTATAAATAAAAAAATAAAAGAAATTTTAAGTAATGGAACATTATGTAAAAAATCTAAAGACTACAGGGTAAATAAAAGCACCTCATCAGAGCTGAACATTACTGCCGTCACTGCGCCCGTCTCAGTTTACAGCTTCTGTAAAGATCAGACAGCCTATACAGATCACACAATCTCAATAAATATCATGTAAGTGTATAAATATTTTGATAAGTATTGTTAATAGAATATTTATAATGATATGATTTTGCTTGTGATTATATCGATACTTGCACTGAGCTCTCACGGGCACGCTCTCTCTCACCAGTGGCAGTTGACATGCGCTGCATAAGGGCGCTATACACACCACGCAGCATACACTGGCAAGATGACAAGTGCTGAACTCCAAGGGACCAGTTTTACTTGTTGCCGATTTGTGTGTTGTTCCTTTTTTTAAAAGGCCTTTTATTTTTAAAATCTCTCAAGTTAATAATGGCTATCGGGTCACATAATCTCCCTCAGAGATATTTGAGCTCAATAACGTGGTGCGCAGTATGACTATTGACCAACATCGCCCTGTAAGTGTAGGCCTACAGCTCTGGTGTGTAATGAATTGCATGTTTTAAATGACAGCGAGACATGCTACATATAGTTTTTCATGTAAAATATACATTCTAACTAGGGATGCTCATTTTGGTTAATTTTGCTAACCGACAACTGCCGCTCAATAATCGGTTATTAACGGTTAACTGGTCAGATTACTATTAATTTTATATTAAACAAATTGACATGTCTATTTTGTGTCTGACACTTTAAATATTGCATAAAATACTAATTTATTTTTATATGCTAGCATATTAATAATAGAACAATACAACAGAGCATTTTCACGTACCTGCAGTGTTTAGCACAGAAGAACAGAATAATCTAAATAAAATGAATAAAATAAATAGGACTGCCCTAAATTATTTTGCACTTAAATAAGTAATTTATATTACAAATCGAAAACACTGACTGATTTTTTTCCAATCATATTTTTGTCTTCCGTCAAATAAAATAGCTGACTTCCTCAAATCGCTCGCTCCACGGAAAATATGCATTTAGTTAATGCCCCGCTGTTATTATTATAATCACAAAACCTTTTTACATTTTTAATAGAAATCATTATTTTAAAGATTATGTCTTGCTATGGTTTCCTTTCTCTCCATCGCGGCTCAAGTGCGCGCGCTGCGTGATGAAAAGACAACAACAACGCGCGCATATGTTGACTTTTTGTAAACAGTTTTTTGTTTAAATATGATATTGCATTAATGTGCATACATGCTTTATATGCTGTAAAATAAAAGGTAAAGCCTATTTGTTGCGTTTATGATGCAGATCCAGGTCAACATCAGCGCTTTTTTTGGCATCAACACGTCTGTTTGAAGCAATATTCTTCTTCCATTTTGCTTCTTTGGCAAATGTGTCTGTAGGCACGGGTTATACATTATCGTCTCGCAAGTTAAGTATGTCTTGCAGTTGAACAAGTGGCCGAGCACAGCTAACGTGCTTTTTTCATTCCAAAAACGAGAGGCGCACCTCACTGCCTTTATGTTGACAAGGAAAAAAGAAGAGAAGAAGCGCGGTCCTCTTATGAAACGACTGAATCAGCTGGGTATCAATTGTGCAAAAGTGTTGCTGTCTATGTTAATAAAATTGTAATATTTAATAATATTATGATATTCAAGATTTGTACATTCATACAGCTCTGGATAACTTAAAACAGCGATTAGACCTTCAGAGCGGTGTTAATGGGTCCTGAAGTAAAGCGAAACGGCCATAAACGCCAGCAAGATAGAGTGATTATATGTAGAGTCATACTTTATCTATAAATAAAGTATAACTATAGAAACTGTTCATCTTAACTGAAAGCTTCTGCGTGTTTGCTGGCCTCACGCATCGCGCACCTGTCAGTCATTCAGTCAGTCAGCACGTAACCCCAAAGGATTAAACAATAGCGCACAGCACTATATGGTTACAAAAAAGTTTGCGCTGTTATAATTCACTTACCTTTTAATACGTTTTGTTGCGATTATAATCCGCTATTAAAAACAACAACAACAATAACTGAATGTTTTGAATGGGTAATGTAGCCGTGGCGGGATGCATTTTGGTCCCCGCCATGGAAGAATGAATGTAGCGGAAACCAAGCTCTTTAAAAGTTCTCTGTAGTTGTCTTGACAACACAAACTGCTGCTCTGGGATGAGCCGCGTGCAAAAGATGCCCCTCTAAACGCAAAGGCGCATTCAATCGGCCGCTTATGCAGCCAAACTAAAAATATATAAAATAATAATTTTAATCGTTTAACTGATAGCATTAATCGGTCACAAACGCACCCTTTCGGTTAACGGTTAATCAATTATTTTGAGCATCCCTAATTCTAACCCAGTACACAATAAAATAATATTTTTTGAATGGCTTGCCTATTGGCAGTATATATAACCGTTAAGCTTAAATAGGCTAAACACATTTAATTAATATTACAACACATTAATACAAACTAGCCACCCTTTGTATATTTTTTAGCAAACGAAAAATGCAATGAATTATTTATTTTGATTTTCTTTTTTATTAAAATTAATATAATTATTAGGCTACACAATTTCTACATAACATTGGCTCTGATTGCGTTTTTACAGATATCCTACTGATAGACTTTTTGGGTCAAAGACATTTATGCCTGTTCATTTCAGTGCTGTATTTGACAGATTTCGCAAAGGCTTCAGCTATTCTACCTGTCAGCTGGTACCAGCCTCAGTTTTGCGACATGACTTGTGTGGTGTCTACGTATCAATGTC